CAGGGCAGGTACAAGCACAAAGCGGAGTCCTGGGTAAGTAAAGTTTAAAATGCTTGAATAGTTTTTAGATCATGCCTGTTTAAACACAAACGCTTCGGTCACCTGTTATATAATTAATGATTTATTAAATAATAACGGAAAATGATGTTATTAATATTGTTCAGTTAATGTGTTGAAAATTTCCATGGGCGTCGGTTATCACTTAATATGAAGTAAACTGCCAACTCGCTTGCCACCTTCTCATATAAAAAAACGCTATACAGCGTGTCGTTACAACCGCGACAATTAATGAACACACATCTAACGCTACTTGCCAATAATTTTAAAAAGTATAAAAAAAAAGTAAAGTAACAGCCTATACATGTCCCACTGCTGGGCAAAGGCCTCAAGGCAAATAAATATAAACATAAAAAGTATAAACTTAAAAGAATCCATAACTAAAAATAAACATTTTTCAAACAAACTAATTAAATAAAAAAGAAACAGAATTTGTAACATCCTACACCTATGACCTTTACAAATGAACTTTACGTTACAGTTTTATACGTAAGGGTGTTCTAAAATTGTTTGTTTTGGAAAATTTAATAACTCGGTAAATATTGATGTTTAAAGAATGTAAATGTTTAACACAATTTTCAATAGTTATCTTACATATGTGTGTTCATTTGTTGTCGCGGTTATAACGACACGCTGTATACGGTAGAGCCAGGCAGTAGCTTCTGCTGTTGCAGGAATTGGCAGACTCGTCCGGGGAAGTAGTAATTCCCTCATAGAACGACACAGAAGAAGGTACTTTTATTCAATATTGTAGTGCAGTGTAATATTTGTAATATTTAATAAATGCCTACACAGCGTTACGTATGGTGAGGTTGTTTAATTTCGTGAATTGTTAAAGACGTAGCCAACTGGCAAGTAATGTGCTGTCATCACTGTCCCAGTGTGTAGTTAAGTTGGGTCTTTATGACTGAAAACTGTCTCCAAACTTAGATCTCACCTGCACCTACCGTGCAATAAACATTTATGATAAATACCGCTGACAAATATAGTGTTATAAAATATCATCATAAGTTTTACACTAGTAGGACCACGCAGCAGCTTCCTAATGGGCTGGCTCGCCCCGGAAAATTATCACAGCCTCACTGAGTTGTCTTTTGCGTCAGAGGGTTCTGTCCACTTCGCCAATCGGGTAGTAATTTTTGACTATTTTACTAATTTAATGGGTTTTACAATATTCTTGCTAATTTTGTTTTAATTAATAAAGTAAAAACCTCGATCAAACAGAGCCCCTAGCTTGTGAAAAGTTTTCGCAGCCCTAATTAGTAATTACTAAGATAGACAAAACCCGTGAGGTGTCAACTTAATAAAAACAAGGTGCAATGCAAAGTAACGATAGATAACTTTTAACAATTTATGACCTAATGTTAAAGCTTCTATTTAATCAAGGGCTCATTTCAATACAAAGACGTGCTACGAATTATATTCTTTGTAAGAATACTCTACTATCTGATATCCTATAATTATATTCACAGTTTACTGTGTACAGACGCTTGAAAAATAAAAAATTCTTAACAAATAAAAAAAAGAAACAATAGTTCATACCGACCAAATATTTCATATAGTTTTATCTCTAGCAATTATGGCATCCATATTTATTCAAATCACAAATATCGTATATGTATTAAAGTATTCCTAACAGTACCTTCTCAAACATAGGGGAAAGACGGCTGCATGATGATCCTTTGGAAAACGTCTTTATCGCAAAGTGGTTAGCTCCGGTGAAAAATAACGTCTGTTGTAAAAGGCGTGCATCCGACCTTATCTGGCGTCGCAAGAGGGCGCTCGCCACTTCTCTTTTATCTGACTATCGGTCTCCCGACGGTTTCAAGGAATTGTACTTACGCGGCGACTTTCCATCCAAATTGCTCTTAGATTGTGAACAGATTACAAAGCGTTTTCAACGTGTTCGAGGTTTTTTTTACACGAGAAATCAACCTCGTTTTGCATAAAGTCTTCGATTAGGTTATTGTGAAAAGTTTATTCGTATCCGTAAATGTGATAATAAAAATTAAGGTAACGTAAAATTTATAATTTGATATGTCATCATCAAGAAACAATTTAATATTTATATAAACCTATTTATATTGTTAATACACTTATTACGCATTTTTGCACGATTGAATGTCTAAGACGTATCTTTTCCTTTCTAACGGAAACAAACAGTAGTTCCGTTATAAGCGGCCTCGAAACTGAAAGGTTAACACTTGACCTGCCCCAACTGAACCTCTTTTAGCCAGCGTGACGCAGCGCGACTTGCGTTCTTCTGAGCATTCTTCAAGGTTTTATCTAACAAATTGAAAAAAAAAATCTACTTCAATCTCGCAGAGAATAGAATAAATCGACGACTGCTTATCATAGTAGTTGGTGTCGCCATACGATGTCGTGAGATCTGATCACAGTAATATTTATTTATTATTTATTTGCACAATAAATTGTGCAAATAAATATCACAGCCTTATATATATATATACATATATATTAAAAAAAATTAACGATAATAATTGGTACCTAATTGTTTTTATTGCTTTAAATGCGAGCAGCAACTAACTCGTTTCAATTTTAAGATTCTAATTAAATAGGTAAATAATTTTAATCCTATCCATAGTTTTATGATGATTAGACAAAATTATCTATACTAGTAAAATATAAAAGTACAAATATCATTGAAACAGAACTCGTGCAGACTCGCAACGAAATGTCTGCATGCAAAGTGCTTGAATTATTCGTGATCCCAACATCCATGTCGATTCACCAACCATAATCATAAAGTATATGAGCAAACAAATAGTCGTATGAATAACCTAGACCATTGTTCCCCGAATACCGTAAGAAAGGAACATTTATAATAGCAGTAACGGGCGAGATATGCGTTTTGCGTGAACGATCTTTGCAACAATAGTTATTTGTCAGCGCCATCGAAACTGCTATTTTACGATGTGCGTCACTTATAAGTCAATTTTGTTTTATGCGAGTTACAACTACTACTTCGACGTTCCAATGTCCAAGATCTTTTAGGTATAATAAAATAAATATAAAATGTATGACTGTTTTATTTGTTAAGCAACGAACAGTCATTTATGAAACCAGTTCGATTTGCACAATGCGTTAAATATCGGAACAGGTAATTAAACGGTTAATCGGCAAGTAAAAATTGAATTTTCACTTGCCGATTAACCGTTTAAGCTGTTATGTATTTAATCTTTATATTTCAATCCATTTGTCCAAGTTATTTCCGGAAATGGCTGACCTGATTCTGCTGTAATTTTAGTTAAATGGCGGCTTTGCATTTCAAATACATTTACCCAAGTAAGATTTAGCATTAATGCTTTGAAATAAAATATTAAACGGGCGGAGCCATGGGTTTCAGTAAGTTAAATACGGACGAACCGCAAACAGCAATTTACGCGCACAGAATAAAGCTTTACGTTGTTTGAATTACATGGCGCAGTGACAGCAAGATTCACGTACAATTAGTATTGTAAATATTAGCCAAGCAAGTGCCTTGTGTATTGTTAGAATCCGCTAGTTATGTCAAAGAGTTTGTTATTTCGAAGTAAGATGTTTTCAAATACCGGCATAGGTCATATTACAACAGGCTATAACAATGACAAAGCACGATGAATTAAGAAATTTAAAAAATAAATTAAAGACAAAATAAATATAAATAAAGCATTGTTTCCGTAATATCTCCTATGCTAGATTATATATTTTTGATTTGGATTGATAGACAAACTTAATATCACAACTTACCATCCTCCTGATTTTGTGAAGTGATAATCTTTGTCTCTTATTGGTGATGATATTAATGAATCAGGCTGCACAATCCGTATTTAAGCGAGACTGATTTTTTCACCCAATAAATAATTTGTAACAAAGCTCTAATCAGTGCGCTATACAAAATTAAATACATATTTGTATTATTCATAAATGTATGCCAATAATGATTTCTTGTATCGACGTGATCAAGAAATTTCATTATTTAAATAAAATGTTATGTTAAATACAACTAGTTATTGACACGTTATCATTGACACAGTAGATAAAGTCAGTAAAGTGACACAGAATAATCAACGCGGACAGTTTCCTAATATACATTTTATTATTTTAACAACAACAATTCATGTTTGGATGAATAATAATACAAAGAAGGCACTGTGACTTTTAACACAAATAAAAAAAATATCGAAATTATAAAAAAAGTGTCTCAGTTTTTATCCGTAATTCGTAGATTTATGTTTATATTTTATTTATACTTATTTTTCATGCTTATAGTAAATTTATGGAATATGTTATTTTTAATGTACCGAAATAATCTTTATAATCACTGACTAGTAACTAACTAATTGACACATGTGCTATAGAAATTTCTGAAATACATATATTGTTACATTAAACTCAAAACCATAATCATAAGAAAAGTCTAAAACCATAAAATACTAAACTTTCTATTTCCTTTGTTTATTTCACGGCCTCGCCTTAGCCACTCGTAATACAGTAATAAATGGTCTACGGCGTAGTTGCGTAGCGCGTAGGTCTACGCCCGGCCAATGAACTGTACTGCCACCGCCGAATTCATGTACCCGTCTGAACTTAGAACACCCCCTCCCATCCCCTAAAAAGTAAAGAGTAATGCACCTCGCCTATAGCCTTTTACGAAAACGTCTGTAGGCACTTTGTCTTTCTAAAAAAGATCCAACTTTATCCTATTAAAATTAACATGGTGTACAAATTATTAAAGAAACGATTGCTAACAAATGTGCACCACATGCTAAAAGAATATTAATTAAAATGTCACGCCATAAACATGCGAAGCACCGAGAATAATTAACGGTGCTTCGCGTATCCATCAATTATAACTATCAAAATATGTAACAGAGAAATGGTGAAATTGCGTACATAACAAACACCACCGTCTTTCATTAGGCTTACGGTTGATCGATCTAATCAAGGATAGTGGAGAACATACTCGTCAAGTTCAATCCACGAACGGTATTAGCGTTCCGACATGCATGCAGCGCTCGTCGTTCCGTCTCCGCGCAGGAGTCATCGATTGTGCGGTCTAATCGTCGATTTTTATCAAGCAGGGCCTCGGGCGTGATAGATTGTCCTTTGGCTTCCTTTTTCGTTTTAGAGAGCGTCGACCGTCGGGCACAAGGGTGGGGGGAGGCGCGGGCCGCGGGGCTTGGGGGAGAGGGGTGCGACACGAACCACTGCACTGAACCAACGTCATTGCCCTGTCAACCGAACAATACTAAGCAGGCGACGTGCCGTTGGCGACCGATACCAAATAGGTGCCAAATAAAGGAGCGACACGGGGCTCTGAAAATTCGTTACGCCTTTGTTTACGGCCCAGGTGGACGGAGCTGACAAAATCCAGACTAACCGTTGACGCCTTAATTGGAGCTCTAATTTCTCCATTTAGATGCAGTCACAGCTTTGATGGTCAACAATTTTAAGTTTGGAAGTTGTTAGTAAGGAAGGCCTAAAGAATTACATTAATGATTTTTTCATGTTTATTTACATTCATTAATTAATTTCCCTGTGCTATGTCCATCAGCCCTGAAATGAATTATTCCAACTTTTGCGATATGTGCTTACATACAACACTGTTAATACGAAATCTACGAAAATGATGATTACTTAAGTTTAGCTCACGACTTATAATAAATATACATTTCTTCCCATTCATTCCTCCTCTCCCCACTTCATCCCCCGCATATGTCTGTCTACCTGCCCTGAAAAGGATTATTCCAAGTTTTGTGATAGGTAATCAAACGCTTTTAATTCGAAATGATTCCTTAAGTTTAATTTAAGACTAAAAATATATAAAATTCTTTACTTAAAATTAGAAACCATAATGGACCCTGTCCGGGCATAGCAATTATTAAAGATTATTAGGATTGAAATGCGTTTTTCATGAGTAAGTGGCAGGATTAATGCAGTTAAATGTTTTTACAATATGAATGGAATTTCAAGAAAACTACATTAATTTATTTATATTTGTTACATACGAAAATATAACATTGCACATATAAAACATTAAACAAATAAAATCATAAACTATAGTCGAGTGTATGTAAATTATTGAGCGTTCTCTGAAATCAAGATTTGCATTTTTGTCATTTTATTGTTTTCATCATAATCAGCCAGAAGACGTCCACCGTCCGCTGTTAGAACACCAAAGTGAACGATGCTTAGCATCCACTGATTGGCCATAACTGTTCAATAATGCGACACCTTTTCTACCAACCAGACTTCCTGAACATACAGTGAAATAGGAAATATTATATTCAATTAACAAGTTAATCAGGTAGGTACTAAACCACCATTGTTCGTAAAAGGGATGAAGGAAATATTACGTATTCCTTCAGTTTATGTAAACGGCGCTAAAGGAATGGATTTTTAAGAAATGTGTGTGACATCATATGAAGCGCAATCATCAATAAATTGATCAAAATTTCTCACGCGGCCTTGTAGCTAGCTAGCTGCAGCAATTTTTAAAGGGAAAATGTCAGCAAATTAGGAATAAAAGTTTTATTTAATAATTTTTAATGTTTTAAAGTTTTAGTTTTTATAATGTAAAGTAATAAAATTTACTTTATACTATAAAAACAAACTCTTTAACAAAAACATTCAAACTAAACAGTGTGGCTTTGATGCGAACCGACATAAAATCGTATGTTAATTATTCAGTTAAACAAACTTATTAACACGTACTAAAATACATGTAAACGACGGTAAATGTTGCGCCGTACAATCGATTAGTTAATGCTTCAGGTAAGCGGGTATTAATATGAAGTTATCTTATGTAAATTCCATTGTGGCGCATAAATAAAGCGCGCTTGTTTTCAAAGCTAGTTGCGTGCGAACGCTGGGGTGACGCATGCAGTCTAGACATTATATTATTACGAGTGCCCGCCTCGCACCGCTTCATTGCACTCTACAGCCGTTACGCGTTAGTCGCATTAACATAAAGCTCTCATTAATTGCTCATCACTAAGCGATTTATTGTCTGACGACTGGTGCTGGGTCTTTCTTTCGCCCCTTATTGGTAAACAGTACTATTAGCGACAATCATCTATTATTAGCCCGATTAAGTAATTTGTAGCGTGGCTTTATTTATTTTCTTTGAAAAAAATGTATGGTAGATATTTTTAGTCTGCAATAGGAGCGCGTGGTGGACTGTAGGCTTAAGGCCTTAAAGCGATCCAAAAGAAACCAAGAGACGTATTTTTATCAAAAATAATTTTAATACATTACTTGTCATATTATATTTTCACATAGATAACTTCGGTGAGATAATAGGTGAGTTCCATCTTCATACAAAATATAATATATCACTGTGGGGTATTTATAATTTTCTTTGTTAAATCCGACTCGATTAAGTTTATGTTGACCATCCAATTACGATCAGTTGTGATCACGCAGTTTGAATTTTGTTACCTTAGGTACTGTTTTATAATATATTTCTAATATTTGTTTTAATTTTATGTCATATTTTCAAACCGTTTTTAAACTGGTTATACGTGAACATTTTTCATATTAGTGAAGGATGCCGAATTTCACGAGTTTCATTAAAATGATGGATCGCGCCGATTCCGCAAGAAAACTCTCTCGTCCGTTATTGCCACCGAAAATAGACAAAACCTAGTGCGTCATAACAAATTTCTAGAGCTCGCGCTTACTTCGTGCAAACCCTGGAGACCGATGGCAGGGGGGCCCGCCCCCACCGCCCCCTGTTTCCCACGCAACGACCTTTGTGCCTCAGCGATGCACTTTGACAGACTTTACTAATTCAATAGATGGACGCCGTGCGGCTTGGGTATTTCCTTTGTGTTAGAATATGTTTAATCACGTCCAATTTATATACAGCACATGGGACGAAATTAATTTTCTCGAAACTCTTCGAGGTAATACGCCGCAGTGCCTTTGTACAAATTTTAGAAGGGAGCACAGTATATACTTGATTAGAAACCCAAAATATTTCCACATCATCGATCACAAATACAAATATTAATAAAGTATTTTGTATATAATATGTAGAGGTTACCCATAAATAAATCTTTATGCGTAACTTTAACCTTTTCTGTGTGAGACCTGTGTATTTTATAGTTAAATAATTTATGACTTAAATCCGCATACTTCACTCCTTTTTTGATGCGATTGTTCGAACAGAAGAAACTTTTTTTGTTATACAGCTTATATATATAGCATTACCACAATATCAATAATTAAGGTTTTCACGAACAATACACATACAACGGTACATACTTACGCGAATTCTCATCACGTTGTGCGCGTGCAATTTCACGACGCAGTTAGACGTTGCAGTCTCAGGTTTGTGATAACAGAAACCCTAAAATGAAGGCTTGAATAAGGTAACGACGGGGGGGCAGGCGGGGGAGTGGGCCGTGCGGGGGGGGCTCACTTGTTTTGGTCTGTTTGGTCCTAGAACGGCTCCACAAAGACGACGGGCGATCCGCACACTAATTCAACGGAGATCGATAGTGCACCCAGCCGAGGCGCCCTTTTATGCCCACGCTATAATGAAGCGATAATTAAATTGCTTCGCTTGTCAAATTGCACGGAGTTGGTTTTGAACGAATCATATTTACGTAAAGGTAAGTATACGTCAAATCATACAAAGATTTTACAATACGATTGTATTCAATAAGTGTTAGTGTTATTTTTATATATTTAAGTTACGATTTCGGTGGAACATTTTCTATTTAGGGGGGAATCCAAATATGTTGAAAATATTAAAATATTTCATTTTAGCACGTTTAATATAAAAAAACTAAGATGCATACTCATACATATAAATGTGGTAATCAATTGTTTTGATAAAATCGTTCAGGAAAGCCTTGCTTGTATCAGCTTGCATTGTACACATATAAACGTACCAGTCTCTGCGTCTCTTTCCATGCATCCAAATTTTCCTCCGATCGTATTGATTAGGGATTGCAACTGATACACGAAAGTGAAGGCTTGCGAGCGCCTTCCAACCTCATCCACCCACACGAGTAGCGTAAGTTCTAGAAGCTTCGTTGCTATAAAGTAGCAAACGTCAAATTAAACTTCACACATATCAACCTAGCGCAGGCACTGTAAGATTCATTTTACATTATATAACGAAACGGAACGTGGCACACGAGCGCTGGAATCAAAATATTAATTTTCGTAGTAGCTCGTTGAACGTACTGAAACATTATTGCGCAGCAAGTTTGTTGTAGAAAACTTTAGAACGACCTTCAAAGGTTACGCTGAAAGTTATACGGTTGTTATGTATAATAGAACTTTATCTACGGACCCTTCTCCTTTCACATAAAACTACACGAATTTTATACGGAGTAACAACAATAACTATGTTGTCTTCATCGTTTTATGATGGTCTAAAACAAAGCTGTTCCTCACCGAATCTTCTAATTTTCTAACATGGTCAAAATGCCAGCTATGGCGCCTTCCCTTTGTCTACATATAATTTTTCAATATATTTTCTTGTTTTTACAATTTATGACAGTGGTTTATCAACCACAAAAATACCCTTTTATTTGTTTTATCATTGCAATAAACGAATCTACCTCTAGTTTTAAAAAAGTGTAAGAGAACAGAGTTGAGAGCAAATATAAATGTGAAAAACTGGAAATTTGCCAATGTCTACGCATAACGTCTCGATAATCAAACAAAAAACTAACATAAATGAGGACAAGAAGATATCTTACACTTGTATGTGTAAGATATCTAGGTCCATCCAAACGGGCCAAGTAAAATAATGTTTCGCCTGCACCTAATTCCATAAGCAATTTGTTATACGATATAAAACGTCGGATACGCAACACCAAATAGAACACGAAACGGCGGCAATACATTAGTAAACTAATCCGAAACCAATAGTGGCGCGCATCGCTCCGAAATTGGAATCCACAACAAAGGGACGTCAAAGAAAGTAGCAAGTGCACGCGTGCTCGCCGGCATAAAGAGGGACGGTGCGCGGCTTAGGAGCCTCGTGCGTCCATTACCCCCACCCGTGGGGGGAGTGGGGGCGCTGCCGAATGTACGGGGTGGCCACCCACCCACACCCAAAGATGCATCGAGTTCTGGACGAAACCGCACTGCCGCTTGCACAAAATGGTAATGAGTTTGAACTCTTATTTATTCGGCCGTTCGCCATTGATTGGGCAGACGCTCATTTATAAAATTAACTTGTTTAGTTTATCTTACTTATCATACTATCGTTGGTAACGCTTTGTATTTTGTCATTCTTTGGAAATGTCTTTTTTTGGAATATGATAGCTATTTAAATTCTATATCTAAAATTAGCGTTGGAGGCTTGGAAATAGATGTCAATAATTATTTGTAATTCAACCCTATTCAACGGCTATTACAAAATATTAATCCGAGAATTGGGATGTTTGAATGTTGCAAGTATACTGATGATTGCTTACACGAGCAGACAGACACAGAAGATGTATTTATTCGATGTAGGCACCCACTCGTGTGTTACAGTCACGACATGCCCCTGCACCGATAAATCGCATTAAGGTCCACGTGCGGAGAATACATTTTTAATCTTGTTTCCTCTATATTATCCGCTTTGGAAAGCTTCAATGTTCTTCGGACGTACCTACACACGAAGACAATCGAAATAGTATTACAAATTCACAGTTATAAGACACCCCGTAATTTGGCATGACCGATAGGTCAAAATCATGACGCGATCATGTAATTGCGTTAGAGCAATTGGTGATATTTCACAAAGCGAACATAGAAAGTAGTTTATAAGACAGAAAACGGCGTAAAAAGCTGAATGCACAGGTACCACAATGTTGCAGAAAACAAACAGAAAGTTTCGCGGGAAACGTTAATAGCACTCGCGTTGGCATCCATAGACCTTTTCATTCGGTTCGAGCTGTGCAGGCTGTGTCAAAGCACGTAATTAGTATTTAGGAAGGTGGTAAGAAAGGCGAGGTCGTGGGCCAGACGTCGGGTATCGATCCAGCGACCTGCCCCACGCTCCGCCACCCCAAGGGTGGGAAGTAGGGGGCCACGCACATCAAGCCACCAATTGACACACTTAAGGTAATACTTTGCACTTACGATGTCGCCGTCGCTCTTGCCCAATACAGTTTTTGTTCGCAAGCGAAAACCGCAGCGCAATTGCAACGCAAAATTCATTAAACTTCATTAAACTAATGCTTATCCAGCTTTAACGCAAGCACATTACGTTATGTACGCGTGTTTACTTTCATTCAACTGTTACTTTTGTTATGCAACTCCCAGCGGAAATAATCGCTAATTTTAAATGGGCTAACTTTTGTATAGCAGGTATAAAACTGGCAGAAATAGCTGAAAGTTACAGAAAGCTCGACCCAGTTGGCTTTGAGCCCGTCTGTAGGTCGTAACAACACATATAGAAGCGAGTGGCGTTATTTAACCTTGAGTTTAGCAAAAACCATTTTATTTAATTACTACTGCTTAAATTATTCGGTAACGTAGTATTTTTATCCTTTTACTTTTATGAAAGTTAGCACGTTGAAATTTCAGTGACCTATTTAAGAGGGATTTTCTTCTATATTCTTTTATAGATAAGATATTCTTTTTTTATGTTTTTAGTGTACAACAAAGCATAAATAAATAAATAAATATTCAATGAAAAAAATTCCTGATAGTTAATAGTTTAAGGTACTCGTACATCTACACGAAATTTTTTTTTTTACTTTTAGGTTAGTTTTTCTCTTCGCAGCTGAATTCCTAGTTCTTTATAAAGGCAATTTCCGGCAAAGAAATTATGGGTGAAAATGAGCAGAGCACGCAGATTGTCCGGAGCGACGTCGCGTCGGTGGTGCGGGTGAGGAGGGGAGGTGCGGGTTAGACACCCGGGGGGTGGCGGGGCGCTGTAAAATCACCCGCAATCATTTATGCCCAAACTACCTTCAAAATTACTACTTGCCACTAAATTAACCATTTTGAAATCTTAATTTTAACGTCAAAAAACCTATTTTAAACCCAACCGAATATTATACGTAAGAATTCGGCATTTTCTATTACGTTGAAAAAAAACAATGTGAGTTCTTATACTTCAATTTTTACGCAAATTTATTTTAATTATTGAAACAAAAGCAATTGTTTTATCAACTATAGAATTTTATTGCATAATATTATCTACTCCATAATAAATCATGAAAAACCTTAGAGGTTCATTAGTATTCACTTAAACTTAATAAAAAAGACACGTAATTCGTAATACATTTTAGAAATGTATCACATCAAGGAAACACATAGTTAATTCGGTGGAATCAGAAACTCTCTAAATTGTAGACGCGACTCTAGGCCACGTGGTGAGATTCTACGACGTAGCTATTTGTGTCAGGAGCTTGCATCCGTGACCCACTTTGCGCACACCCCTTCCCGGGCCCCGTCGGCACTGCCGTATATTTTGGTCTAGGTTGTGTCAAGCCCTGTTATATCGCCGATAGAGATTTATTTATGTTGTTTTCCGCGTTTGGAAATTGCTATCACCCCGCTTGTTGTATCAAAAAATTAAAAAGGCGGACACCTCTTTCGTGTTAATGAAACAAATTGAACTTGAAAAGGTAACTTACGGAGTAATAAAAAAGTGCATGATGCGCTGTGATTGTTGATTGCAATAACAATTAAGTAGGTAATAAAATTGCTGTTGGTCATTACGAAATACACTGCCAATATTTTATTTGAAAATACTATTCATGCCTACAACATTGTCTCGGGTAGGCTTCGAGTAACTATTTAAAAGTAAAGTATCAGCCCATACATATCCCACAGCTGGGCAAAGGCCTCCTCTGAACAGAGGGTATCAGGGCATAATAGTCCACCACGCGACCCCACCACCGATTGGCGGAATTCACTAATTACCTTCGAAATATTTTTTTTAATTATTTTGAAAATATGCAGGTTTCCTTACGGTGCTTTGCTGCACCGCTAAGCACGTGATAAGTCAAAATTTATAATTAAAAATTTCATCGGTACCGGCACCGGATTCGAACCCGGGTTGTTCAAGTAGCTAGCAAGGCTCTGTCTTCTATGTTTATCTATGTTTACATAGACGAGAGCCGTGAATAAAGGAAAGAATTTTAGTGTGAAGTAAGTTTCTGACGTAATAAAAATTAAAATTTACATTTTCCATTGCAATATGTTAAGATTTGTTTACGAATATTAAAGTTTAATATCCTTTAAGGCGAATGTTCTTGGACGTAAATAGTAAAAACAAACACTGTACAAGTGCGACCTATTTTTAACGGTACTTATAAGGCAAAGAATGCACACGTCGAGCAAAAAATTAAAAACACATGCACAAACACATTGTGTGACTTCAATTAAAGTTCTTTTAATATTATTAAAAAATTGTCTCCGTTATGACGGATACAACAATCTGGTATTGTATAGGCTGCACGGGTTTTATAAAAAACAGAAAAGAATAATAGTTATGAGAAAGGAAAAGATTATAAAATACTATTATCAAACTGGAATCGAGCGCACTACCTGAAACGCTATGCAAGGCAATTGCTAATTAACTGTACACACCATTCATTATTTTTTTATGTGAAAAGTTGCTAAGCGAGCAGACGTTTCACCTGATGTTAAGTGAATACCGCCGCCCATGGACATCTGGAAAGTATTATACTTTACAACCTCAACAACCTTTTGAAAATTGGGCTCCGGCCACCACACTCAGCAGAAGAAACGTGAAAGTATTATACTTCCACTTTACGCCGGTCTTCTGTGAGGTCATGGTACTTACCGGGACGAGCCTGCCCATTCGTGCAACAGCCGAGGCTGCTGCGTGGCCCTACCATCGTTGATATCTATCCGATCATTCAATTAATGTCATCATATCTATCATTCAATTAATGTCACAAATTGCTTGAAAAACTATTGCCTAAGTTAAAAATATCTTTTCTTGATAAAAAAAAATGTTTTAAACTCAACATAATTAAGGGTTACACTATTTAATATTAAACTAAAACTTGGCCGTCTTACACTGTAAAGGGTAAAAAGAAGACATTTAGTTTGTTTTGGCATTAAATACAATATTGTTAATGGTAAACCAGTGGAGGATATGCGAAAGTGTTCCATCGTTATAATTTGATATATTTCGGTCAACCTTAAAAATTAGCGATGTATCGTCAGCAAACAATACAACATCACACAACGCACTGGCATTAAAGGGGATAACATTTATGTATACTAAAAAGAATTATGGGCCCAAGATTGATCCTTGTGGGACACCCATTGTCATGGGGAACCCTGTAGAATTAACATCATTTATAGAATCTTTTTTAATTCTATTAGTAAGGTAAGAGGCAATGAAATTGAGGGCGATGCCACGAATGCCATAATAATGTACTTAGCTTGCGAAGGAGAGATTTGTGGTCTACGCCTATTCCATTGTGTGACCTTTCTCAGGCTTGTCTGTGCCTGCGACTCCCGCAGATTTTGTTCATATTATTCAAATGTACTAAAAGTAAATTAAAAACTATTAACTTTTTAAAAAAAAGGAAAAAGGCTAAATATAGAGTACTAATAAGTTTGATACTATTAAGTTGCACCTTGGAAACTGGCACTAAATATTTGGCAACATAATAAAAATACTTTTAATATTTTGCCAAATATATAGTGCCAGCGACATCTTCCGATACAAGCCAGAAACTCTAAGAAGAGCAAAATGCTAAGAACAGAGCATACCGACAATCTGCGACAAAATCAAACAAGTATATAGAAATTCAGGAAACAGTTTAAATTGAATGGCAACTAATAACAACTGTTTCATTCATATTGTTGTTGTTAATACACATTACACTAATTTGATAGCTCTTTCTTTAAATGAAACTCACATTTGTTTATTGTGTAATGTCATGAAATATAAAAGTTTTAAGTATATCTATAATCATTATTTAGTGTCTGAAAATTCTTTTTCCCGAGATTAGCGAAAGAATGCGTGTACTCGCTCAAATTAACATGAGTAATGAACGGCTCATGACGCCCGTGTCACAATCGTTTCTAATTGCGATATCTAATTAAACCGAATATTATAATAATTGCATACGGCGCGACGAGCCAACCGGAAAATGAAACGCATCGCTCGCTATTTGAATAAACTTAATGAGACCTACAATGTAAATAAAAGCAGCATGCTGCTTACCTATGCCTGTCTTACATTGTATATAAATATATACTCAGGATTATCCAATAATTAAAATAGATTTCTTTTTTACTAATTTTACAGGAGAAGTCGTTTTCAAAATGTTCAAGTATTGAATTATTATTCTTATAAATGAAAATCACACACTCATTAGAAATAAATAAGGGCCGGTTTTTTTGTCTGATTCAATTATCTTCGACGACCTACGTTCATTGCAATTGGTATGAAGACAAAGAGAACGCTTTGCAGACGCATGTATTAGAGAAATCACCCCTCTCATCTACTATAGGTGGAGGTGTTTGCAGAGTTAGGATTAGTAGCCATGAGTTGATCTCCCACCAGTGAAACCAAGATAAACCCACACAGTACAAACTCTTTGGGTTAAACTTATTGAGCCCACCCAGTGTTTTATTTTAGTTCGCTAGTTTGGAATCACCGCAAGAGGCAGGCAACAAATCACTGAAGACCCTAGCCTAAATGACAGCAATTAGGTTTATTCAAATGGGGAAAAAAGATTGCAGACCAGTTTTTTTGGTGGCGGGTGCTTAAAAAAGTATAGATAATCGGAATCTCGGAAACGGCTCCAGCGATTTTAATGAGTATTTTAATGTATGTTTCAGTTTTGGAAAATATACTTTTATGCCTGTTTTCAGCGAATGAAAAACATCATTCGTATATGACGGTAAATTTCGCCGAAAAAAAAGTTATAATAGCTCGGCCGGTAATCGGGCCCGAAACGGAAGGCCGCGGTTCGTGTCACGATCATTTACACACTTGTTTTTTTTTTCTTTTCTTTTTTTTTTTTTCTAAACCAGATCATGGCTTTCTTTCTTATTTTTTTTAATTAATTAATACACGATTTACCAAAAAAAACCGAGCTAAGGTCGGTCCTCCAGGTGCTTTTGTTTATGTGGTGTATAACAAACTATATTTAACAATGCACACTACTTTGATGGACCTTTAGTTCTACAGCATGTCTGTAACACCACGGAGGACATTTTGATCAGTGGTTATAATATTTTTAATGTTATTCACAACTTAAATATTTTTGAAAAAAATGTATTTATTTATTTCCTTGACTATTGACATAAACACCTACTTATACTATTACAAATGGAACATATTCATGTCATAACTTCTAAACTATTGAACTTTAAGCTACGATTAAAACACTTTATTTCTAGCAAACATCCTATATTTTCGTTTAAAAAACAAAAAGTGCACCTTAACAGCTTAGATTTTGCGAAAAATCTAATAATCTTAAAACACTATAAAAATTCAACATTTCTTTCTTTAGGCCTTTTATGGATACAATTAATCCGATCCCGAAAAGAGTGTGGCGATTCACTTCACACGAAGTACTTACCCGTCACATTTTTATAAAAGCCCTCGCCAATGCAAAAAGTTGGGGCAAATATACCTTTATGGCCAACCACTCCCTTGGAGAAAAAGGTCAAATACTAAGGAGTCACTTTCGACGGGCGTTTGTCATTAACTACGCACATTAATAACATTCGTAATAGAGCCGCGTTCGTCTCCGGCTGGCTACACAATTTAACTAACGCTAAAGACAAAATGCCCTTAAGGCACAAATTAATATTATATAAGACCTGCGTACGACCTCTTATGTCCTACGCATGCATGACCTTAGCCCACACGCACCCTACTCGCTTGTACAAGTTGCAAATAGTACAAAATAAGTTCATCCGCCGCGTAACCGGTGCGCTGTGGTATCAACGCAACGTCGACCTGCACTGCGATTGCAGACTCCCGACGATCCGCGAATATTTTAAAGACCTGACGAAACGGTTCTTCGAAAGAGCCGAACATCATCGCAACCCTCTAAGCGCAGCAAATTACCAACCCGACACAAACGCGAACGTCAAGAAGCGTCGCCCGCGAAACGTCCTCATCGACCCGGTCGAGGAAGGGGACTTAGATACGTCGGACCCACCAGCAGTGGTCCCGCCGGTTAACACTACACTCACAGCTAGTGTAACAACAAACACAATAGTTCGCCCTCGCCTCCGAGGACTCCGAGCACAGCGAGACCAACACAACGCGTACACAAGGTACACCCGCGTTCCAGGGCGGTTTTCACCGCCCCCAGCCACCGATTAGCTAAAAACACAGTCGACGGCCATCGGTGTCTCGGTCCGCACCGCAACCTCGATGGCCCTTAGATGACATGCCGTAGTTAAACGCACGCATGAGGACATGCGCGGCCCTACCCACAGCGGAGGGCCCAAACCCGTGGGTTCTGGCTAGCCCACCGGTTCTGCGTCAGATGAAGCTTTAATAGTCTCGGGACTGAAAGCACAAACAGTTAATACAAGATACAAGAGAAGATAATTTATCCGGCATCTCCTCCCTAAAAGCTCAGGCTGTACATTAGCTGTTAATTTAATTTGATAATAATGGTTAAAAAAAATCTAATGAAAACTATTCCTCACTTATCAATGGACATAATCTCGAGAATATATAAAATATACTTACCTAAAACTATATTATTAATATTATAATTTTTTTTAATTTAATATTTTATTAATTGTAACTCATTATTTTATAAATGTAAGTAATAATGTTTTATTGTTAATAGTCAAGAAAAATATAAATGAATTCATTTTGAATTGACAAACAGCACTTTAATGTTGTGAAAAGAATTTAAAGGAAAGAATAAAAAAATGTAAAAATAACTTAGCTTATTTTATGGGGAAATGGCCTAATTAATACTTACCAACATTTTTATCTTTTTCTTAGATTCTAAACAGCTATAGCAAATTAAATATTAAGGGTTTTAAGGGATACGTAAGTGCTATGTCGGTCGCAAAAAAAAACAATAAATGTTATACATTTTTTACTCTATTGTGTTCAGCCCATTACAAGATTGAGAAACGGTATAGACAATTGTTGTCTATAATATAATCTATTAACAATGTGTATTCGTAATAATTATAATGTGTTTTACACAATCGGAAAATAAAACGATTTTACGTTTACATTGAAAATTGTACGTAATTTTGCTTACTTGTAAAAACTTAAAATAAAACCTACACTTATTTACAAAAAGGTTAATATATACAACCAAATACTATATTGAATCAACTTAACCATAATAATTCATAAGTTAAAATCACTAAAAACGAAACTAATAATGAAATTTCATAATCCCTGGAACTTAAGGACCATGAAGTTTACTTAAAACAGATTCAATATCGATATTATGTATATTTGCAGTATTAAGTAAGTACTGCGTTTCAGACTTCGGTCTCTTGCTGCAATTCGGCGATTCGTCCGAAGTGTATGAGCTTTGTAATCGCTTTCTTTTCTTCATATCAACTTTCTCTTTATTATCAACTTTTTCAACTTCTAGCTCTATTTCAGTGACAATTGGCTCTAACTCTTGTGATGTCGGAGTTGCTACCTTCAAAGGCGTGTCCAAGCTAGTCAACGTTGAATCAAATATTTCATAAACCTGCGCTTTTGGGTCTTTCATTGGTGTATACAACTTATCAATATTTGATATGGAACTAACAGCAATTTCAGTCTCTTTACAAATATAACCAGCGTCCATTTCTTCGAAATCTTGGTCAAGCAACATATTGAATGTAGTAGCCCTCAATCGTACTGTCACGTCATCTTCTACACAAAACTCCATAGTATAATTATCTTTCAATGATGGCGGTAGACTTTTTTTTGTGTAACTTAAATCGACATATTCATGACTGAAAAAATTTGCTGTATCTTCATTACATTCATGTGTTGAAAATTCTACTTCATCGCAGTTATCGTCATCTACAATTTCTAGATTGACAGAAGTTTCACTTGCAGTTCTAGCACTGTTCTCTTCTACTGGATCATTGGTCATAAATTCAAAATTTCCTGAATCTACCACATCAGAGATGATTTCTCGCTTAGGACAAGGCGAATCGAGTAAATCTCGTTCAATTATTTTCGCAGTTTCAACATCAAAGCCCCGTTTGATTAAGTCAATATGCAAACTGCCTTCACCATCATTAGTACAAACTGGTTGTTCGGCAACAGACGTTTCAATGTACTCTTTTATTTTACATATATCATCTGTATCATTAGCTGCTTCTGCTTGTTTCAATTTTGTGTCTTGTGATTTTCCATCTTGAGAACCGTCATCGGACCATCGTAGGGGTAGCTGTTCAATATCTGAATCGTGTGAACAAACCTGGCTCTCTTGAGATATACTCTGTTTTGATTTAATTGACTCTGGTGATATATGATCAGAGTGCTGAGAATTAAAAGTTTTTGTACAATGCAGTTTTCTAGGAGTAGATGATTTTCTGCGTGATTTTGTGGGAACATTTGTAGCAAGTGGAGTCGAGCTGCTCTCTTTACTGTTTGTTCTCTTTTGTGCCTTATGATGAAAAGAGTCTGAAGTTTTTCTACTTTTTCCTCCGATAATTTCTTTAATTGGTGTAGTTCTTCTTGGTTTAATTTTCATAAATGTTTTTGGTATTTCTCTCTTCAAAGGTGATTTCTTTTTTAAAGAAATATTTTTTTTATTTATGTTAGATTTTCTTTTCGTGTCCTTACTTTTTTTTTGGTTAATCGCGTTATCTACTTTTTCAACAGAAATATTAATACTGACTGAATCGCTGTGCTCTAAATTTTCGTCAGAATCTTTGACTTTACTATTATTAGGATTTTTATAATACGAGACATTTTTCCTACATTGTCTTACAGGCCGCCTCTGTTTAAGCTCATCGTTCTTATTTTTTACTTCCATTTTTTTACATGATTTTTCAATCCTTTCTGAGGTTTTAACATTTTCACCCGAAGTAATTGGACATTCTAAAATTTCAGTGGGAATTATATAATCCTGATCATCGGGTTTATAATAAGATCCACCGCTGGAATAATCAGTTGGTCTTGAAGAATATGTAGATGGCGTAGCTTGGGCCCCTTTAGGACTGCAAAGAAACCTTGGCGTAGGTATACTCATTATTTTTACCTCTGAAATTGGTTCATCGGGCAAATCAGGGCCTAAATATTTTGGAGTATCCATTTGTATATCATAAAGTGCTTGTTTGTAAGGTGTTTCTAACAAGTGTGATATATTGAGTTTAGCACCAATTACATTTTGCAAGGCAATTCTTTCACTTTCAGGTGTGTCAATTCGCTCATGACTTGTATTATTTTTGTTCTGACTCTTATCATTTTCTTGATTTGTATTCCATTCAGTAGTTGTGATTATATTAATAGTTGGTTTGACAGCGACCGATGAAGTTTCTTTGTTGTTACACGAAACATCTTCTATTTCATCAATACTGTCTACACTTTTTTTAATTGTATTTCCCTTAACTTTAGATAAAGACTTTTTAGATTTTTTCTCCGATTTGACATTTTCTTCGGTTTTATAAGCATTCTTATCATCCGATTTTTTCTTTTTAGTACTTATTACACTCTTTGTTTTATTTTTTGTTTTCTGGAAGGAATTCTTTGAATTATCAATATCTTTCACAATCAAAGCTCGTAAATCAGCATCCCAATTGTTTTTTTTATTCAAAATAACTTTATTTTCTTTCGCTGCATCACTATTCAAGTTCGTGCAAGGTACATTAACATTATTTGAAACTTTTTCTGTGATAGCATTGTTGGTACCAATTTCAACAGGCTCTTTACATGGTGGATCTGAAGTCTCACTAGGTTCTGTCTCCCCAGAAATATTCTTGTTTGAACTTTGCTCATTAATCGTCTCATGTAATATTCTTCGAGGAGTAGTAAAATCCAAAACCCTTACATGGGATGATCTTCGAGGAGTAGAAGAAGACTTTCTTTTAGGTGGCAAGCCCTGCGGTGTACTTGTCTTCAATGCCGTTGAATATGTATTTTCCTTCGGCACAGAGACATGACCAGCCATTTCAACCGTTTTAATGAGACTTTGTTCATTTAAAAGTTTTTGATCGCTGTTCTTAAATTTTTCATTTATATCACAAGTGATATTTGGAACAGTGATGTTAGATGTAACATCAACAACAAGTGGTTTAAAAATACTTTGACCACAACTTGTAGTAGCAGTAACGACATCATTTTTGGTAGGCATAGTGACTATGGGTTGGGAATCTGTTGCACTAGATTTAGAACCTGAAACAATACAATATAGTATTAATAATTTTTGAATATAAATTTTTTGTTTTAATATGAATTTCTAATTTACCTGTCGCTGGTACGAGAATAATGGTGGGCATAGCCATAATTTCATCCTTTGTGTAGTTACAATTCAATGGATTTTGTGTTTTGTGCTTGTAGGCTTGAGTTCCATTTATAAAAATAGTTTGCATTTGAACATGTGGTGTGGACGTGGCGTTATTAAACACTAATGGTGGTTTTGGTCTTACATAAATATTATCATAAGACTTTTCCACTTTTACATCGGACAAAATTTTTATTTTATTCTCTTCACGCTTGATACTGGGATTTTGTGTGGTCAAACTATTTTCCATAGGTAAACGCGCCTCAGATGTTATCACTGGTAAACTTTGGTTATTTTTAACACTTCCAAGATTTAATATTAAATGACCTTTAGATTTCAGATCGGTTCTATTAATTGTTCCAATATTTACAAATGCATTACCAATACTTCTTCTTAAAGGCGCCCTGGAATGAAAAAAGTTCAATAACAAAGATTCCTCGGACGATTCCACATACATACATATTACATATTACATATTAGTAAATGAAATATTTTTGAGGAGTTTGTTGCATATAGTTGAGATGGTCTATTTGTAAATAAAATGAATATTTAAAAAATCCTTTAGTTGAGTGGAGACTAGCACTAAAAATAAAAAATAATCATAAGCCTCAACAGCAGATGCATCACCTCTCAAACCACGAACAAACAAAAGCACCAAGAAAAGATGTTCAGATTTTTACGTCTTGAGGATAAAACCAAGCGTTTTAAACAGTTGGTTGGGGCATCTGTGCCTGTTACCCAAAAGATGGCAGCGAATGGTAGAGGTAATCCTGGTAGCGCAGAAAAAAATCACCAATTTATCTTTTAAACTCAAATTAATTGGTGATGATATAGGAACTCATAAATTAATTATTAATATTTCCAACTAACTATAAACTTTAAGTTTCTGTACTATTAACTTTCTTACTTTTAGAAATAAAAAAATATTTTAAGGGAGATCTAATCTAAATTAAAGCATTTATTTGCATTCAGACGGAATATTATCATAACAGTTATTGAACCGACAAACCATTTCGAGGAAGCCAATCATCAGTTTAAACTCCTGTTCGAGTGCACTGCTTGAAATGTCTCAACGAGCCTCCACAGACTACCACAAATGACGATTCTGAGCCATCAGAATCCATTGACTTCACGCACATTTGCACAGCTATGTCAGTAACTTATGTTCTACTGCGGATGTCTTCGTCACGAATTCTATTATGCGGAGAAATACCGAGCATAACTCACTTCATAGCTCTCTAATCGGTTTTAAGGTTCCTCATACGGCCAGAAGTGAATGAGCATATATGCCAAAGATTCTCGAACGCTTCGCATCAGAGTTCGTTTAACCTGACCTCTGCATCGAAGTTGGACTTACCTAACCGGGGAAACTCTTTCTTAAGTTAAACAGGCTCGTCGACAACTTCGAACACAGTGCTCCCAAAAACAATTAGTACAGGCGTGGACGTGTGCATGGGCATTACACATGATCTTCGTCTCGTACATGTTCTTCTAAAGGCCTACCTATGACCCATTGGGAGACGTCATATTCACTACCACTTCATTAACAGTCCAGAAGCTTGAAAATAATCTTCCAATGCAGGGCTCAGCAGTATTGAGTATTTAATCATCATCCTGTTTTACACCGTTTGAGAGTTAGTTAGGTTTTATACTACAGGACTGTACTCGAACGGACAACGCAACGTTAAACAAAAACCACAGTACCTCGATATACCAACAGTCAATTTTGCACCGCTGAAGGGACTGGAGTACGGCCCAAATTTCTAAAGAATCGAAGGCGTTCTCATAGTGTGTATGTTGAATACGCTGTGAAACCTTTTTTTTGGAATCTGGCTTGTTCAGGAGACTAAAAGTTATCGAGCTAAACTTGCGAGAGTAATCTTGAAAGCGCTAAAAGCGAGACGATTCAAGTTAACGCTCGCAAACAGAACAATAGACACGGCTCATAAGTGATATCAATCTATGAGTCTTCAAGAGAGCTTTATCACCATTCTTGATGAACCACACCACACCTTTTCTCAACGCCGTTGGTGTAAGCACTATCCCAAAAGATGAAATTAAAGAGCTTGTGAAGAATCATATATACCGTTTCTCCACAGTCTCCGTCCACTCCTGGTGCTTTGCTCAGTCTTAAGATGGGCAAGAGCCATTCTAATTTTGGACTGATGTTCGCGATATTTTTAAAAGCGGAGGGTACTTTTTCTTTGTATGAAAGTGACAGGGTGGTAAGTCCTAACGACCACTGCCACCTAGAATGATCTATTGTAGTCTTCCCTTCGAAAACATTGCCTCCTTACTGTTGCATATCATTATCCTGTGTCACATTTAAGTGGGATATTTTAAATATATAAATTTCACATGGACAAACACCCAGATCGGAAACAATTTTCTATGGGTCACACAAATAGTTGTCTCTTGTGGGAATCAAACCCACGACCCCCGGCGCCGATGCGAATTGCTAGGCAACTGTGCCACGAGGTGACCTTGGGTCGTTATACGCACGTGGCTCCAACGACGACTAAATCTCAATATAAATGTCTGGCCTAGTTAGAAATCAAATTCAAACTCTCAGCTCATCATATTTTCTTCAGCCTAATTTTACTTTGAAGTCTCCTATTAGCACCATAGACTGAGTTTTGGATGGATGTGTGGTTTGTGATATATCCTCATGCCTTACCTCCACCTCGTCATTGGGGCGTATCAACGTTTTTGAGCGGTATGACCTTCAGGGAATACTTATCGATCTAATAATTATCGTGTCCTCCCCCTGTCTTCGGACTACAAATAATCCTAATACCACAACACAGCCTGTTTACCGCTTCATCCAGCTCTGTTTTCCTCTCATCAATACTCAATTTCCTTGCGTTGTAAGTTGTCAGTTTCAGTCACCGAATCCCAAGCAGAGATTCTTATCACCCTCTGCCATACCGTTACCGCTAATGCTACCGTAGCCAGGAATAGCAGGGCCGCCGGGGATTGGGTCTACACGTGTTGGACTGCCATCATAAGAGAGAAATTTGCCGTAGCTGTCACGCTTTGCACCTTTAACGGCGCTGCCCATTATTTGAGTAATAAATAGTCAAATTGGTTGGCAATATTTAATAGTCAACTACATGGATTATGAACTAACTGATATATTTCATTTGGTTCAATGCATATGATTCATATCAGTCTAGTAACTCCTATCACGAGTTTAAAAAAAACCTAACAAAAATAAAAATAATAAGATATGTCTTTCAATTAAAACTTATAAATAGTGTCCAACGAAACTTTCGGTTTCGGTAAATTCATTCATTAAAAAAAACCGGATTTCGTTTTCACTGACTGACATTCGAGAAGTTTCACGTTGTTATTATTTCGAAAATATGCAGGTTTCCTTGCTGTTTTCCTTCACTTCTGAGCAAGTGATAGGTGCTCGGCGTTTATATATATATATAAACATACAATATTAGATCTGATGACTGTTCTCCTTATTAATCCTCTCATATTATTTTATAGTAAAAATATAAAATTAAATTTTAAACATTTTTTTCATCATGGTGTAGCATTATTCAACTTCAAGTATTACAGAAAACTAACATAAAGAAAACAGGTCCTAATACTTTTGCCTTTAGTTTGATGGGTGAGGTAAGCAGGGCCTACTGTAATGTTAATGACTACAATTATACTTACTGCGCATTATTTACGTCAGGTGAAGTAGACGTGGATATGTTGGATTTATTGTCATCTGGAAAAATATTAAATAAAATGAAATGATATACCATTAATATTAATAATACACTTAAATATACAGGGGGGGGCGTTTTCTAAAGGTACCCAAATTTACACAGGAGGTTCAGACTCGATAGTATAATCGTTTATTGAAATAAAAACAAACTTTTTTTACATTTCAAAACAAATAAAAGTAATTTTAACTTACTATAAATGCCTGTAGTGAAATCTTGAAATGTTCCTGCTGTTGAAATTCTCTGGTGGGGGTCACTAATAGTATCAGTTGTTGGAAAAGTCCTGTTATTGTTTTCATTACCATTTTTACACACAAAGTCTAAAATGTTGTCAAATTCTTCAATTTTTTGAACAGATTCAAATTTCTTGGACTTTGTCTGAAATAAAAATAAATAACTATTATGTTGTTGTTGCGGCTACAATTTAAAGAAAGTGAAGTAATGTTTATCACATTTTATTAAAAATAAAATGTTGAACCACTTCATGAATATCACACAATTTAAGTTAATTAACAAAGCAAATGTTGATTGTAGTGTTATAAATGGGGCCAAATATTCCTCATTATCTGAAAGATTCTCAGTCTCTTGACAAATGGCAAATAAATTTGTGAAGAAATGATGATCATATGACAGAGAATAAAACACCAGCTAATTTAAGGTTAGTTTTGTTGTATTCTTTTTAATTCTGATAATATTTACAATCTAATATCAACTTAAACTGCAAATATTGTAAAAACCACAATTTTCAAATTATTTAACAACAGTTATTACGGTTGTCTATAAGAAATTTGTCTGTTTCATTATTATAAAGTAAAATTTTGAAAATTATAACTGTAAAATGAAAAAAAAGCATGTATTCATACCATATCTTCTTCAAGAATATTATTTGTGCCTTGTTCAATATCATTTTGACCACCCTCATTGGCAACAGATTGTGGAACACTATTTAAACTGCTTAATTCAATACAACATGATTGTCTAACTTCATTACACGTCTCTTGACCACTTACAAGATTCCTATGCTCTCTATCAAGAACTTTCGCCGATTTTTTTTTTGTCATGGTATTTCCTGAAATTTGATAATTGATAAACTACAGATTACATAATGTTGTACCTTATAAAAATGTAGTATTACAATAGTTTTAACTTTTATACTTGTGTTATGTGTAAATGTTATAAGAATAATAAAAGTGAATGATTAGAATAATATATTTATTGTAGAAATCACATCTGCTCACCATAATTGAGTAATGATATAGTGTATATATCAATTGAATTTATAAGAGGTACTTCTATAAGTAAAACATTTTCCAACAAATGACACTATTGACATAATCATAAAATTTATCATTTCTTTTAGTTTTTTATCATAGCAGGTAAAGGAAAACAAAAAAGAATATTAGTATCATACCTGGTAAATCAGCTAAGGCAGTTGTTTCAACAGAACTTTCTAATGATGTAGCTTCTATTTGACTTATAGACTGGTTACAAGGTAGTGATGGATTTGAACTGAAATTAAGGTCAGTAGATGTATTTACTGGCATAAACAAAATTATAATATCAAATAATGACTAGTTGAATATAGGAAAACCATTAAAAATAACTTATGTCTAGCATAAACATCATTATATATTTACCTCATCTTATCTACATTGTGCTCCTGAGCATTTAACTTATTCATATCAACATTTTGTACTAATAATTTGACAATGTCAAACAAATTAGCACATTGAAATAATCTCTTTCTAAGGGCAAAAGGTTTACAGGTCTCCACTGAAAAAAAGCCAACAAATCTCTTATTATAACAACACTGTGATGTCTTTTTATAATTTATACAAAAATATATTTGTATATACGTCACAATATATACATCACAATTATTTATTTACTTACATAAAATAAAAGGAATGGAATATCAGAATTAATACTGTTTTATTAAAATTTACAAACAATTTGTTTTAATTTGATATAAACAAATCCAACACTATGTTAAAAATACTCACCATAAATCTTTACAGCTCTGTACTCAGCCAGAATATTTTTAAGAGATGTCATGAAAATCCTGTCATATTCATTTCTGAGCGCATCTAAATATGGACTAGCTTGTAAAAATTCATCATAAGCAGTCATAAGCTGCTCCTCCGCAAGATATCCTTAAAAAATAAAGAAAATGCTGGTAAAAATGTTTCCGTTTCATCCGTTAAATAAATAGATACAGTTCCTCCCGCCAAACCAAAACTTACCAAGTACAAGCTTCGCCAAATCTTGTGACGGAAAAGGTGGAATCGTCATTTTAGAATTCACTTCTTACGACTAAGAAAAATATAATACCATAACATCGAATATCATCACTTCAATAACTACACTAATTAGTTTTTAATCATTTTAAATTTCACATATAAAGCTAACAGATAGCATCAAGCTCAACGAATAACAACGAACAACGACGGACAACTGACACACTGCATTGACAATTTCAAATTTGACACTGACGGACGCAGCAGTGTTTACAAACAATTAATTTACTAAAATCGCCTTCACTGCTGGCAACAAGAGGACTGGTTCTTTTTTCGCTCAAAGGAAAAGCATAACCATTTAACGAGGAAATGCAGGTAGTGTTCTTGGCACCATGTGACGTGGAATAAGGACTCGTTATTAGGTTTTTTTTTATGTGTGACGATGGCACGTGAGCTTGCGGTTCACCTGATGTTAAGTGATAACCACCGTTCATTGACAAATGCAATACCCGTAGTGTTGCAGATGCGTTGCCACGTTGCCACCTTTATTAATCTGGTCTCCGGCTACCTCACTCACCAGTATTAGTAATTATATGAAACAGTCAATAGTAATATTTGTATTTGTATGTTGTATTTCAGTGTATTTTCGTTTTCGATTGCTATAAAATTTTCTGTTAACTTAAATCTTATAACAGTAGTATGAACCTATATTTAATTTGAACAATAATATTGAATACCAATATTTGATGACTCCGTGGCGCAGTTGCTAAGGTATCGGCTTCGGCGTCGGGGGTCGTGGGTTCGATTCCCACACGGGACAGCTATTTGTGTGACCCACAGATATTTGTTTCGTATCTGGGTGTTTATCAGCGTGAAATTTATGTTTGTAAAACGTCCTTACAACACAGGATAATGTTCCTAAAGTAAGGGCAATGCTTTTTTCATAAAAAAAAAAAAAAAAGACTAGTGAGTGAGCCGGGGCACACTTTATTTTAAACGCGTGGTGACAACGCATTCGCAATCCCGCGGGTATTGCAAATGTCTATGGGCAGCGGTGTTCACTCAACATCAGGTGAACCGCCAGCTCATTTGCTACCTTCTGATATAAAAATAAATAAATAAGAATAATTATAACATAAGATAAATACTCTTCAGAAGTCTCGGCACCATCACGTCCTCTTCCTCGTCCTCTTGCACGACCACGCCCGCAACTTTCTTCGTCGTTTCTTTCACTAAAATTAATGTTTACACACCACAATTTAATTTAATTAATATTTAGATCGTTTATTAATCCGTACAAACCCTTATGATATTAGTAACTATGTGTAACTATGGCGGATACCATGACAAAGTCCATTGACAACAACAGGCGCTCAGTATTGAAGACAATTGTTAAAGTAATGTATTCGCACAGAAAACACTTGAATTTATATAAAAAAAAACATATATGGATATAGTAATTATGAACTATTCTTTGATTTTCACACAGTTTTGGGTCAAAATAGACACACATTTCTTTGTATTTGACAAATCAACCGGCAGCCAATGTTCCCATCGCAAACAATAACTTTTTCGGAGGCGAAATATTACAACTTTTGAATGCTAAAACTACTTAACTATAAAAATATTGCAGCATTATTCTTCTCGATCATTTATATGTATAATAGTATATAAATCACGAAGTTTAGTAACTCCGTGAACTCATGCTGAGTGGAAACCTATTTGGTGCATGTACATTTTATTTCTTTTTAATGTAAATAATTTTTTGTAAACGATTTATTTATGTACCAAATAAACTTTTCTTTTTTCTTTCTTTCTAAATATCTACTTACGACATATTTTATTAAGTCAACAATCACTTCACATGTAACGCACTTTCAGTTATAAACTTTCTAAATTTTATTATGGCGTTCTGGTTGAAAGTTGTGGGCAGTTAAATTTATTTCGTTGAATAATTTCCTAAAGAACGTCTCTATGAAGCTATTTTTATAATCAAAACGCGCTAGTTGATGATATGCGGAATTTGTTTACACTGTCGCGTAGGTACCTTAGTTCCCTATGGTATCCCCTTGGTACTATAGTACCTGATGGCTTTCTGGGTGTTTTAGTGATCGTTCAATCTTTCAGTCACTTTCACGCGTCATTCATTTCATCGTTCAAATCATTCATTTACTTACTTTTTAATGGCGGTTATCTTCGTCAACTGAGTGTTATGTTAATTTTTAGTTAACTCTTAAAACAGACAAAACTATCTTAATATTACACTATTTCCAAATTAAAACTCTCATCACTGTGCAGACGTCTACAACTGTGTTAAAATGAGTACCACCATTGCTACACCGCTTTTTGCTTGTTCTCGTTGTTTCTCTAGGCATCCTTTTGAAGAATTATCTCCAGGAGAACAACTTTGCAAAGTATGCCCTTATTTACAAATGAATTCATTGCATCAATCATTCCAAAATTAGTGGCTTTGAGGTTTTCGAATGTTATATATTCTTTTTTGTTGTATTTATTGTATTTACGTTGTGCTGTTATTTGACGTCACTAGAAGCAGAATTCTCTTGATTTTTCAGGAATGTCGTGGTTCTTTTCCTGTTGTCAAGTGTACTTATTGTCGCTCCGAGTTTCAACAAACAAGGTCAGTGTCCATTACTTAGCTGGAGAAAGAGTATATGGAATATTTATTGAACCATACTTGTCTACAATTTGCAATATGCATTCCACTTTATCTAAAATTAACTTATTTGTTGTTATTGTTGGTTTTGGCTCTGATTCAATTAATTATGGCTAAGATATACTATCAAGCTATTTACAAATATTCTACTCATGCGTATTATTGCATATATTTTAGAGGAAGCTCCATAGTGCTATGTCAAAAGGATTGACTAAATAATTGGAAAAGGTTTCTACTTCATACGTTTTTTTTTCCAATTTAAAGTCAGTTGTCAATTGGCCGTAGAAGGTTCATTGCTGTATAGTGGCAGGTGTAGGATTACTATATTTTTTTTTTTCAAAAAGTTTACAAAGAGTGTAAAGAGTACACACAAAGTAATAACATATTATTAAATCAATATAGAAGTGAGTAAATATTTGTAGATTGACATCACAGGTTTATTCTCTTGTAAATAGTTTTAGATATTAAAAAAACATACCCATTACATAAATTATAAAATCACAACCTACAGAAACTTCCAGATTATCCGACACAGAGCAATCTGACACGGATATGTTAGGTAAGAGGGTTAAGGCAGGAACAGACCTAAGGCCTTTGTGGCTTTTCTGTAAGGTGCAGCTGTGAATTGTTTTTGTATTGGTGCATTAATATTAACTATAAATAGTGCACAATTTTCAAGTGTAAATAATAATGTGTTTGTGATATGTTCTTTAAGTATCCCATATCACTATATGTATCTTCCATCAAAGTAAAGACGTAAGTTTAGTAGCGTTTTTTTTGTAATAGTATTAATTTTATATATAATCTAATAATATATAAAATTCCCATGTCACAGTGTTTGTAATTGATCTCCTCCGAAATGGCTCTACCGATTTAAGTGTAATTTTGTGTGCATATTGGCCAAGGTGGAGAATCATACAACATCTATTTTTCATCCCCATAAATGTTAAGGGTGGTCCACCCCAAACATTTTTTTCCACCCTACAAATAATTTATATGGCAAAACAACATTTGCCGGGTCAGCTAGTATTATATATAAAAAATTATACTATTACAATAATATTATTAGTAATAGTAATGAAATTAATAAGTTTTAATATTTATTTTTATGATTAGTAGGAGATATCATAGATTTTTTACTCTTAATATTTAATTATGGCTTTTTTTTACCATTTAAAAATATTTATAAAAGAAAAAAAACCTGTGCTGCTATTCTGCACCTTTACCAATACCCATTATTTATCCCATTTTCCATGAGCATAATTGTTTCACGTTATTATACAGATATTCTATAAACTTTTGAATAGTTGTGACTTCTTGGATTATGTCACTCATTTTTATGAAATAAGTAATGTAATTTCATGTAAATTAAGTATTAAATTAATTAGTCTAAAGGTGGATTTAGTATCTGTGTCATTTTCTGTAACAATAATAATGCAGTAAAAATAGGTTTATTTAGCAAATTAGAGAAGACGCTTTTAACTGTTGTTGCTAATACCAACTAAGAAAGCAACAAATTGTTGAGGATAATAGATGGGTTTGAGTGTGGTCAAATAGTGGTTTGCTTTAAATAAAGATAAAGGTTTATTGGTCTTTACAATAAGTACAATAAGTTGTATAAAAGGTTCTGAGCAAAATTCTGGATTAGCCATATTCCTTTTTTTTTACACTTACAAATATTTTAAAACAAAAATAACCTATGGGAAGGATTTTTTTTATCATGCTTTTATTTTGTTCTTAAAATTTTTAGTGGTAGATTGTTTTTTTAAAGAGATTATAGGAAAAAGTTTGTCACAGTTTCTGAGTTGTTACGTTAGCCATTTGACCGCTGTCAAATGGCTAGACATCTGTCTAGGCAGCTGTCAGCAGTGTTGCACAACCATCGATAGTTTGACTATCAATAGTGGACCGATATATTGTACTGCTGATAATATTGTCTAAATCAATACTGTCGATACTACTAATAGTATCAATGGCTCTCCAAGTGCCAATACTATTGATAACAGCAATACTATCGATAGTAATGCATGCAATAATATCGATGGTATCGATAGTATTGCAATTTCCATTAGTTTTTGACAAAACCTGTCGTTTTGCCGGTTTGTACTTATTGATAGCCAGTAAAAGGCTATTGGTAGTACAAAATCATTGATAGATCCATTGACTCGATACAAGCACATTTTGATTGAACTTATTATGTCCAGAATAATAATAAAAGATGTTAAGTATGTACTATAATGTAATTAGCTAGGTAGCTCAACACAATACGTAAATTGTCCGTCGCTTCTACTCCTGCCTTCACTTATTTAACTTTATTTGACAACAAAGTAAAAAGTACCCACATTTAAGATTACACATATTGGAACATGACATACCTCACCCCTTAGTAAGCTACCTACCACAGAATAATCAAAAGAAGAAAAAATCAATAACATTTAAAATTAATAGTCTTAGTTAACTAATTAGTCTTTGGCGTCTGTGAATGAAAACATGATTTGTGCTTTATTTTGCCTATCGTTGAAGACGTTATTTCTGTGGTGGATGGTATTCCTAACATCTCAGCCCATTGATCAGAGTCTGGGATTTCAATTATTCTCTCAGTGTCTTCACTGTTCTCAGACTCCTCTCTATGATTGTTGTCTCTAGTATTATCTGAATATACTTGTTCCGTCGTTGGTTCCGTATTTCTTCCACTTTCTTCATTCTCAACTTCTGACTCCACAACTTTTCCCGGTATCTTCCTTATTATCTGATCAATGTGACGATTAATAAGTATATCATCATCTGTTTGCAGTTTATAACTTTATGGACCACTTTTACTAATAACCATGCCTCGTAGCGATCTGGGCCCAGTACTGCTATAATTGCGATACATAATCTCCTGTCCAACATTAGCGCTTCTGCTTTTTCTTTGAACATTATTATGTATTTGTTTTTCCATTCTTTCATGAGGTATATTATCTGGATGTATTGTATCTAGTAATGTGCGTAAACGTCTCTTCATCAATAATTCTGCCGGACTCTTATTTGTAGTGCTGCATGGTGTTACTCGAAGACCGAGTAGTATATTCGGAATTTTTACCTCCCACGCCATTCCATTTTGCTTAATTTGTCTTTAACGGTTTGGACCATTCTTTCCGCCAATCCATTAGTAGCGGGGTGGTAAGGTGCTGTAGTTATATGCCGGATATTATTAGCCTCCAAGAATCTGTTCATTTCATTCGATACAAATGATGTACCGTTATCAGACACCACCACCTCACAGAGTCCATGGGTAGCAAATGTTGTTCTTAGAAGTCGAATAACTGTAGAGGAAGTAGTATTGTTCACCACGTATAGTTCAGGCCAACGTGAGTAGGCATCCACTATAATTAAAAAATATTTTTATGATATGGTCCTGCAAAATCGACGTGAATTCTCGACCATGGTCTTGTCGGTGTGATCCATTCGTGGTTGGTTCTTGGAGGCATGTGCCTATTCTCCAAGCATTTGGAACAAGATCTAACCAGTACTTCTATATCCTCGTTGAGATTTGGCCACCAAACATAACTTCTGGCAAGTACTTTTGTTTGCACTATACCTGAGTGTGTTTTATGTAATACTTTTAATATTTCATATCGCATCGATTTTGGTATTACTACACGACAACCAAGTAGTATGCAATCCTCTTGTAATGATAACTCTGTGCGATGCAACCAGTAGGGACGTAAATCGGGATCTGTTATTCTAACATGCCAACCTCGCTGTATGTAAAAAATTACTCGTGACAAAATCCTATCGCCCTTTGTTTCCCTGGATACATCTTTCACATCAAACGGGAAGTCTTCCGGTGTTTCGGCAATTAATAATACCTCACCTAATTGTTGTTCAGCTTGTTCAGGAACAGGTTGGGGCCATCGGCTTAAACTATCGGCGTAACCATTTTGTGAACCTGGTTTATATTTTATCTCATAACTATGAGACATCAGAGCAATCGCGATTCTAGTCAATCGCGGAGATAACATATTAGGCAATGGTTTTATAGGATCAAATATACCCAGCAATGGTTTATGGTCCGTAATTATCTTAAATTGTCGACCCATGAGATAGTTATGAAATTTTTTAATACCAAACATTATTGCTGTAGCTTCTTTATCCAATTGCGAATAACGTCTTTCATGAGAGTGCAGTGTCCTCGACGCCATTGCTATTGGACGTTCTTGACCGCCTTCCGTTTCATGTGATAAAACTGCTCCGACCCCATATTCTGAACTGTCGCATGTTATGGTTAACGGTTTGTTTACGTCGTAATGCACCAAAGTCAGGTCGAACGTCAGCAGACGTTTGGCTACATCGAACGCACTTTGTTCGCGTTCACTCCATGTCCATGGATGTGTAGAGTCTAATAACCGGTGTAATGGTTCTAGTATGATTGCCTTGTGTGGTATGAACCTCTCATAAAAATTGTACAATCCAAGAAAAGCTTGCAATTCTCGTTTATTTTTTGGTTGAGGTGTGTTTACTATTGATTCTACCTTACTTCTTGCAGGATGGATGCCTTCAGCATCAATGGCAGAACCTAAAAATTCAACTTTTTCCTTCGCAAACTGGCATTTTATTTTGTTAAGACGTAGTCCCGCCCGCTTTATCCTTCCTAGTACTATGTCTAAGCGATTTTCCATTTCCATCATAGTTTGACCACAAATGATAATATCGTCTATCAAAACTGCCACTCCAGGGACACCAGCCAGTAAAGACGTCATCAAGCGTTGAAAAATTCCTGGGCTTGCTTTTACACCAAAAGCCAACCGATGCACCGAATATAAACCCTTGCAAGTATTTAGTGTTAATAGTTTTGACGTCTGCTCGTCCACCGTTACCTGGGTGTATGCTCGATCTAAGTCTAAGGTTGTGAAAAATCTCCCTCCAGCCACGGCGGCAAATACTTCGTTTGCTGTAGGCATGGGAAAGTATCTGACTCGGTTGCCTCATTAACTGTACTGCGATAGTCTCCGCATAGTCGTATATCGCCAGATTTTTTTAAAATAGGAACTACCGGTGTAGAACTCCTTCTTTTTCCAGACGGTCTATTTCCATTTCCACCCTTTGTTTAATAGCAAAAGGCACAGGACGCGCTTTTAGAAATTTGGGAATAGCACCTGGCTTTATATGTATTTTCACTGGTTGTCCCCGGTAGGTACCAAGTCCTTCCTGAAAAACTTCACTATGTTTTAATAAAATTTTGTCCATTTCTTGCATGTCATATTTTGTTACATAATTGATATTCATTGTTATATGAAGTGGATTTAACCAGTCCCGACCCAACAGATTAGGTCCATTTCCTCTTGCCACTATAATAGGTAATTTTTTGCAGATATCCTTGTACTGAACGGGTAGTGTTATTTGTCCGCGTAACTTGACAGGTGTTTCGGTCCACGTGCGCAACGAAATAGATACGGGCTGCAATGCTGTGTCTTGTAGGTGTGAGCTCAATGTCTGCCACGTACGTTCATTTACAAGAGAAAAGCTAGCTCCAGTATCCACTTGCATTGAAATCGGTACATTTGCTATAGTTACCATTACTTCATAAGGAGGCACGCGACTATCGTCACGGAGGCAATATACACTATTCAAATATTCACCCGAGTCCGATATAAATTTTAAATTGTGCTTAGTATCCTTCTTCTTACTCAAACAAATCTTTTCCAAATTACCCTTCTTTTTACAATATTTACAAACAGCATTTATAAATCGACACTCGCCCGTATGTTTGTCACCGCAACAGTAACAAAAACGGAAATTTGCTTTTGATCGCACTGCATTAATTTCCATAGGCTCGTCTGAGCCGTGTACTGTTGGATCGGGCTGCGCCACTGCTGAACGCGCCGATACCCCCGACGTGCTCTCTTGAATCATGCGAACGTCCCGGCCTGCGCTTTCGGCTTACAACATCGCATCTACTACATCTTGATAATTTAAGTTATCACGTTTTAATAATTCATATTGTAATTTCTCGTCCCACATGCCGCAAACAAGTCTATCGCGTAACATTCTTTCTAAGTCGTAGAAATTGCATCCCGAACTGAGTTTACGTAAATGAGCAACATAGTCAGACGCCGCTTCACTCTGTTTTTGATTACAGTTATAAAATTTAAATGAAACTGATATCTCATTAGGCTTCGGACTGTAATGATTTGTTAGAATTACTTCTATTTCACTGAATGTCACATCACTTGCTTGTTTTGGAGTAATTAACGCTAGCAGAGTCTCAAAAACTTCTGACTCACACACTGTGAAAAAGTTAGCTCTTCTGGCTGGATCTAATACGACGCCATTAGCCTCGAAACAAAATTTTAAACGGTTAAGATAATTGTGCCAATTGTTTGTTTTTGGGTTAAATTCTTCATACTTCACTGCTTTTCGATCCATTTTACTAAGTTTTTATACTCGTCGCCACTATTATGTCCAGAATAATAATAAAAGACGTTAAGTATGTACTATAATGTAATTAGCTAGGTAGCTCAACACAATACGTAAATTGTCCGTCGCTTCTACTCCTGCCTTCACTTATTTAACTTTATTTGACAACAAAGTAAAAAGTACCCACATTTAAGATTACACATATTGGAACATGACAGAACTTTAAATTTATTTCGTTTTAATTTTATCCTTTGTTACAGTAAATCAAACACGTCATCCATTTGTAAAAAATGTGAGGCCAATGTTAAATCATATGGGAAACCTACAGCATGTGAATATTGCAACATTATTGCTGCATTTATTGGTAAATGACTTGCACATTATATAAATAAACATTAGGAAATAGGCTGTTTGTAATGTATCTTATATTTATATCTCAAGGTAATAAATGTCAACGTTGTGCAAATTCCGAACGCAAATATGGACCAGCTGTATCATGTGAGCAATGCAAGCAACGCTGCGCTTTTGATCGCCATGATGATAGTAAAAAGGTATGTAAAAGTCAGTACTATATCTTTTGCTTTTGAATATATTATTTAGAGATGTATTTAGTACTTTACTTTTTTATTATAAATAAGTGCTAAAAATGTAATTTTGTTGCTATTTAATTACTATGTAATTAAAATGAATATTTAAAGGTCTCTTTATTGACCATTTTTGATCTCAAACTTTAAGTATAAACAATTGAAATATTTTAATCACTTGAGATCTTGAGAATAAAGGAGGTACCAGACGCATGATAAAAATAATTTTATTTTCTTAAAAAATGTCTCCGAGTTTTAACAAGTGTGATTGAAATAATTTGTACTAACAATTTCGCAGGTTGATGGCAAATTACTATGTTGGCTTTGTACCCAGTCACTAAAAAGGGCTTTGGCAAGGACGAAGCAGCATTTGTCTTCTGTTGATAAACACAAACACCGTGGACACAAGTCAGTTAATATAATTTCATTTGTTTTTCTTAGTATGAACTGTGATAGCACATTATCTGGTGACTCCCTTTTAATTCAATACTGAACATGAGCAATATAAATTTGAGCAACCTGAGTTTGATCCCTGGTGCCAGCACCAATGTTATTGTCAATTTTTAGTGCTGATTTATCATATGCTCAATGGAGAAAGAAAACATCGTAAGGAGAAATCTGCATATTTTAATTGATGAAAATAATAACAAAAAATATTTTGACGGTGTGTGAAGTCACCATTTCGCATGTTGACTATTACCTAATACCCTCTGTACAGAGGCGGCCTTTTCCCAGCAGTAGGATATTTATAGGCTGATAGTTTACTTTACCTTTAAGGGCTCCATACCCAAAGGGTTTAACATAGGCTTGAGAAAAAATGTTACTTTTTTATCACTGACTGCTATTCCAGTGCCATAAAAATCAGTCATTTACTACCCACAGAGATTAACGCATTTTTATAATATATTTTCAGTTTTATAATAAAAGAGGTAATGAATATAAAGAAAATATGGAAAGCTCCAAAATTTAAATCTTGTTATAAAATATTATACTCCTACTTCACTGACATGTTCAAATTTGTTAAGCTTTGTATGTACAATACGAACAGTACATACAAATATTAAACTGCAACAAAAAATACAAACAAAATTTCTCTTTTACTAGAAATTGCAAAGTAAAGCTCGTTATAAAGTTCGGAACCCTTCGGCGCGTCTCGACATTCATCGTCAGGCCGGGCACAGCGATTGCGACGCGTTTTTCTTTAGGCAATGGAATGAAAGTGGTTTTGTTACGGTGATAAACATTCAGAACACCGTGATTTTATCACTATGAGGTTATTTTTGTCACACCGCTAGTATAACGGGACCCTATTACTAAGACTTCACTGTCTTCACTGTATCCGCCTGTCACCAGACTGTTCAACTGTTTAACTAACACGGTTCATGTGATATGAAACAATGATGTATTTCTGTTGTCGCTATAACGAAAAATAGTGGGGCTCCTATACAACAGAGATAGTTTTTATAATGGTACGGAACCCTTCATTCGCGAGTCAGACTGTGGCACTTGGCCGGTTTTTTGTTTTTTTATAAGCATAAAATTATTTTAGAAATATCAGTCAATATTGTAAAAAGTCAGTATTCATCATAAGTCATATGTTAAACAAAGTAAAAGTAGGCGTAACAAAACTTATGCCTTAAAATTTCCTGACTTCTCTGTCAGAATAGACAATCATTATACAGGCTTTCCTTATTCAGTTCTCTGATTGATGTTGACATGTCTCAAGTCACAATCAATGACTAAATGTGTCATGTCTCTCCTTATCTTACCTGAATCTCAATCTATTTCTTTGAGTAACTAATCATCAAAATCAATAAAGTTAACATCACATTTGTTTTTGAAATGGTTAAGTTTGTTTGCAACCAACAGGTCAATAAATAGTCACAAAGAAAAGCGCAGATCGGACATGATGAAATCTATGAATTCAACAGACTCATCATTAAATGAATCTCAACCGCTGGAGAAGAAGTCCAAGTTGAATCCTTTGCAGGGTTAGTATAAAATTGTCAAACTCATTCATGTACTACCTAAGTTTTTTCTGTATAACATATTTTAAATTTTTTGTATACTAAATATTAATTGATCAGTTGTGTTGTTATGTGGTTGTAAAGGTATTTATAGTTAAAAGGTTACATTGGGATTCTGGGGGATTCTTAGATATCTCTTCTATATAGGGAGGCTTTTCTAAGTGTATTCATGTTTTTTAATAAAATTTTAAACATAAATAATGTTATATAAAAAATGATAAATATTTAAAATCACTCTTAATTAATTAATTACATTCATTTTAAGTTATCTCAAAAAGCGCGTGATTTATGGGCAACTCATTATTTTACGTGCGGTCATTCATAACTAACACGTACACAAGTTCGTTTCAAAAGAATACGACGCATTTATGAATGACTACTGCATTGTCAACAAGTTGTTTTTTATAAAAGTTTCTTTGTTTTTATTGTATTCTTTCTTATTTCTTTTATTATATTATTTCAATAAACGATAGTTCTACCGAGTCTGAACCTCCTGTGAGGATTTGGGCACCTTTAGAAAAGCCACCCTGTATAAGTAGCATATAATCTCAATATCAATAATGGATTTGAGGTATTTGGCAGGTGAACTGGATCCTAACAGCTCGGATCATGTAGTGGCAATGACTCAACTCAAGGAGACAATTGCCAGCTTGCAGAAGAAGGTGCAACAAAAAGAAATGGAACTACTTTCCAAAGATAAACTGGTAAATATGAATTTTGGTATTAAATTTTACTTAGGTATTTACTTATTTATTTTAAAAAAGCTCATGAGTACATGTGTAAGAAGTGAAATGTCATTTTTAATTCCATTTAAGATTAAAATTTATAATAAATGTCACAGACAATAAAATATGATGAATAATTGAATGATTCACATAAATGAATTATAAGTGCTATATATGTAAAAGTAATGTAGATATCGTGATATTTTAATTGGTGTCAAGATAAGCAGTGCCTTGGTAGCTGGAGCGTCGGACGTTTGCACTTGCAGCTTCAAAAAACTTTTCGTCCACTTTTCTAAAAATGGGGATAGTACTATAAAAATGTTATGTATCTATGAAATTTGGATATTATAGAAAAATAGACAAAATAGTATACAGCGTGTCGTTACCATCGCGACAATAAATGAACACACGTCTAACGCTACTTGCCAGTAATCATAAAAAAATATTGACGTTAAACAAAATCCATAATTTAAATAAAAATATTTTTCAAACAAACTAAAAAAGAAACAAAATTTGTAACATCCTATACAACTCGCGCCACAGCGGCGCATTACAAGCCTCTCCTTCTAACAGTATGTTTTGTCTCTTTTAAATTCAATCAACCCATTCATATGCTTTGTGACCTTTACTAATGAACTGTACGTTACAGTTTCATACGTAAGGGTGTTCTAAAATTGTTTGTTTTGGAAAATTTTATAACTCGGTAAATATTGATGTTTAAAGAATGTAAACGTTTAATACAATTTTAAAAAGTTATCCTCTGTATGTGTGTTCATTTATTGTCGCGGTGGTAACGACACGCTGTATATAGTAAAAAATCACTACATTGTATAAAACAAAATCGTCCCGCTGTCTATCTGTCCCTATATATACGATTTATCCACCAATTATTTTTATATCAATGAAACAAATTCACTGAGAATTATCATCAACAATAGAATGACATTCAGAATAGTTACTCACGGTAATTTTTTTACAGATCACAGAGTTGAAAGCTCAACATCATAACAACACAACAGAGCTCAGGAATGAAATGAAGAACAAGGAGCGAATGAACGAGACGAAGTTTACTCTAATGAATACCAAGATTCAGAATTTATTGAAAGAAGTGGCAACACTCAGTAAATCTGCAAAGAAAAATAACAAAAACACAAAATCAGTGCTGAACAATGCAGAAAACAGCGGCAGTGGCACAGACAGCCCCAGCACTAACTAGAAAAATTTCACAATTATTAATTTATTAGTTTAGTTGTTTCTCAAACTGTGGCAAATGAAATTCATATCTGAAATCATTAGAACTAATTGTTAAACTCTCTAGTTTTTCTAGAGAAATCAGAAAGTTTATCATTAAAAAAAGAAATTAAAAATATTTGGCCTATATTCTATGGTCATTATTGACAGGGGCCTGTTTATTAGTCATATTAAATAGAAAGTTCTTAGATAGCAAGTACCTTTATAGCAATATTTCTTTGTTGATTAAAAAGTAAATTGATGATATGTTTTTCCTGGATTTCTCAGCAACCTTAGCAAAATATGTGGTAGTTTTTCACTATGAAGAAATATATTTGTCTACATTGCCTTTTAGGGAGTATCCAAAACTGAAAGCTAGAGAAATAATTTTGATATATAATGAGCTGCGATGATAATTTTGATATAGAATGATGCGATCTGCGAGTTCATATTCATAGTACAATAAATTTCAATATAAAGATGCTCTTAATATACTTGTACAATTGGATCATACATTTCCAGCTCCATTTTTATTGTGCTTAGTACTTATTTTATAATGTCATCAGGTTATATGTTGGCTATGAAGCCAAGAGTTTGAGAAACATATTTTAGTGATATTCAAGCAGTGGAAATATTCCTCGTATTTTTTTACTCTACAAATGGTTTCATTTGTAGACTTTTATAACGGTAATCATAAGTAGATTTCAATTTGATGACATTTTATGTTTAATTATAAGAATGTTGGTTAAGTGTCGAGTTATTTATTCAGTAGTAATGACAAAGTATAGAAAATGATGCAAACAAATGTATGTTGAATGTGTTAGATCAAAACATCTATTTCTTTAAAAACTATAATTTTGAGATTAATTTTTTTTATATGATTTGCCTGTACGAGGGAATTTTTCTAAATAAAATTCGTTAGTACGGTATTGATACTGACTTAATATTTAGATTTGTGTTAAATCCTTTTAAATTAAAATCTTTGATATCTTCATTGGAAAAATATTATAATAATTTGCGAACAGTTTTTTTATCATTTGACCAATTAAGTTATGTAATTCACGTCTTCAAATAAATAATCGTAAGCCATATTGGTTAAACGCATTGTAATTATAGCAAAAAATATAATAAGTGTAGCATATCAATGTGATATTGTTGGTATAAAGAGGCAATAGTGTTGCAAATATTAAGAGAACCAAATCGATTTTGTATTATTTGTTAAGAGACATGTTAATTTATTTACTTATTAATCCATATTTCACATTGACGTCTTGAACAAATAAAGCATAATTAATTTTCGTAAAAAAAAAATAATACAAAAGATTCTATTGGTTTATTTCAAGTAACCTGGCCGTATTCATCTTAGCTTGTCAATAGGTAAATGTAGTATTTGGTGTTGCCATTAGTTAGTTTATATAATTTTGACGTGTATTCTTTTAGCAATCGTTAAATTAATGCAATCCAAGTGATATATTTTTCATAAAGTCTTATTTATTCATCATTCCATTTTTATGCTAGTTTCTTTATTTCAACTTGGAACGTGAAACATTTAAAATTAAAAGTCAATTTTAAAGAAGGCCATATTTTTAATATACATTCAAGTTCAATCAAACTACTTTTATACTTAACTTTTCTCTTATTACTGACCTTAACGGTGGTGTCTATAACTGCTGGGTATCTTTACCCCATTGTCACAACATATAATGTGATGTCATTAATAACCTTCGTCGCTATTTAATTTTCACTTGATTAGCGGGTGACTGCACCCTTTGTTACCAATATGAAACGCTAATTACGAAACTTGAGATTAGCTGTACCAAAACTAATATTTTTCTCACGTGGACGTCACCGCTAATTGATACTTGTCAGTCCGATAATATTCTTAGATCTATTTCACCTTAATATCATGGTTTGTGTTTCGCTTGTTAAGACGATTCCACAGTAAAGTCGGTTGTTGTTGCGTTTGAGTGCTTGGCTACTGATTTTCTTCTGGCCACGGTCGATTAAATATGTCGCGAACTAATTATCTAGTTACAATGATTCTCGAATAACATATGAAATACCATTAGTGTTCATACGTTGTATGTCAATGCCGTACAAAACACGTCCCGTTAGAGGCCAAAGACGACTTCGCGTCACGATTCATGCGGATTCTGCGAACGCGTACGTGGCTCGACGATTTTTATGACATTCGCTACGATTTCCGCCTGTTATTATATAGCTGTTTGTGTTGATAAACATGGCCTCTTATTGGTCAGTGACACTATTTGAAGAGCACCAATGATGGCGTAAAGCTACGAAAGGTCAAATGCCTCAAATCGATTATAACAGAAGCGGATTCATTTTTAAATCGTGTTACAAGAATATGTATGTAATTTTCACAAGACGTTTACCTATTCCATTACGAATGAAAGTAATTTAGCGAAAGTGTAAAAAGAAGTGTAATAAATATTGTGAAAGTGCGATGCTTCTTTTATTTTTAATAATCCTTTTTGTCATAAAAAAAGGACATATAGTCACATTTTTTATATAATATCGAGCGTTCAAGTACTAAAGCTAATTTTAATCCTTTAAATTCAGTGACACCCGATGAGGTCCACGACATTAAAAATTTTCCCAAATCCGTCCCGGGCCCAGACAATATTAGCTCTCCCTGGGCCGCTTATTTGTTTACTGGCGACCATATGCAACACATTAATCTTCAGTTGCTCCTTTCCGGACGACTGAAAAGAAGCCACGGTTATCGGCATTCGCAAGCCGAATTAACCAGCCAATCAGCCCTCAAGTTATCGTCCCATCATCCTCAGTTGCCTGGGGAAACTATACGAGCGGCTGTTATTAAACAGGCTCAAAAAGCACGTATTTTACCAACGGCCTTCTGCCGGCGGAACAATTCGAATTTCGAGCTTGTCATTCCTGTCCCGACATTATACTGCGTAACAGAACACATCCTAAAAGGCTTAAATTATCCGAAACATGTTAGCACGGGGGCTCTTTTCTTCGATGTCGCAAAGGCATTCGACAAGGTCTGACACAACGGCTTGCTTTACAAGCTGTACACACTTAAAGTGCCAGATAGGCTCGTACAAACCATCCCGACCTTCCTGTCGAACCGATCTTTTCGATATCAAGTTGAGGACACCCTCCACAAGCCGCCTCACGGCTGGCTTTTGGCAAGGCTCCTACCTCTCACCCTTACTCTTTACGCTCTATACGAGCGACATACCCAAAGACCATACTCAAAGACCATACCCAAAGACCATACCCAAAGACCATACCCAAAGACCATACCCAAAGACCATACCCAAAGACCATACCCAAAGACCATACCCAAAGACCATACCCAAAGACCATACCCAAAGACCATACCCACGGCAATCTCGCGCTTTTTGCGGATGACACGGCGCTCTTTTACAAAAATAAAAATCTCAATCAACTCACTCGTCTCCAAAATGCCGCCGACCGCCTCGGCAATTGGCTCCGCAAATGGAGAATAGAAGTAAATCCCGAAAAGATTGTGGCGATTCACTTCACACGAAGTACTTACCCATCATTATTATAAATGCCCTCGCCAATGCAGAAAGTTGGGGCAAATATCCCTTCATGGCCAACCGCCCCCCTGGGAGAAAAAGCTCATATACTTAGGAGTCACTTTCGACTCGCGTATGTCATTTACTACGCACATTAATAACGTTCGTACTAGAGCCGCGTTCATCTCCGGCTGGCTACACAATTTAACTAACGCTAAAGACAAAATGCCCTTAAGGCACAAATTATTATTATATAAGACCTGCGTACGACCTATTGCGTATATATGCGTATGTCCTACGCATGCATGACCTTCGCCCACACGCACCCTACTCGCTTGTACAAGTAGCAAATAGTACAAAATAAGTTCATCCGGTGCGCAGTGGTATCAACGCAACGTCGACCTGCACAGCGATTGCAGACTCCTGACGATTCGCGAATATTTTAAAGACCTGGCCAAACGGTTCTTCGATAGAGCCGAACATCATCCCAACCTTCTGGTGGTAAGCACAGCAAATTACCAACCCGTCATAAACGCGAACGTCAACAAGCGTCGCCCTCATCGACCCGGACGAGGAAGGGGACTTAGATACGTGGGACCCACCGTCGGGGGTTGAGATGGTGCGTGTTTACGTTACCAGGTTTTTCCTTGCAAGTATACCAACCAGATACCGACCCGACATACTTGCAAGACTTGAAAGTATTTTTCCATTAAAGTATACGAGCCCTTCAAAGTAAGTATTACTACGTCGATCGAACTCTAACGTGGAACGAATCGAGTGCGATGGCGAAGCAATGGGTATCGGTTTCACCTGGTGTGTCTCTCTCTCACTTGATAAAATAACTTATGATCATATATATAAGGTTCAAATTGTCCTTATACGTGAAGTAAAATATACTTTCAAAGTATTTTACGTCTTGATTATAATAGTTTGAATCTTATGTGTATAGCATCAAGGTTAAATTTGCAAGGAAACAAGTATTCGACTCGTTGCGTTGAACAGAAAGTACTTTGAAATTATTTTGATACCTGGTTTCTGTACTTGGTATGAGAAGGTGGAAGTAGTTTTAAGACCTGTTACGCGATTTAGCAAGTAAAACCCATCCCTAGTCGGGGTTCCCGCCGGATAACACTACACCCACAGCTAGTGTAACAACAAACAAAATAGTTCGCCCTCTCCTCCGAGCACAGCGAGACCAACACAACGCGTACACTAGATATACCCGCGTTCCAGGGCGGTTCTCACCGCCGCCAACCACCGATTAGCTAAAAACACAGTCGACGGCCATCGGAGTCCCGGTCCGAACCACAACCTCGATGACCCTTAGATGCCATACCACAGTTAAACGCACGCCTGAGCGCAGAGGGCGGAGGGTCCAAACCCGTGGGTTTTGGCTAGCCCTCCGGTTTTGCGTATTTAGTCTCGGGACTGAAAGCAAAAACATCAGTTAATA